AATCCAGGAGAAGGCAAAACGTGAGAAAAAGATGCAGGGTGAGAGATCAGAGGACAGAGTAGGGAGAGAGGACGGAACAGGGAGAGAGAACTGAACAGAGAGAGGACGGAATAAGGGGCATTGAGAGAAGACGAAGGACGCAACACTGAAGACTAAAAGAGAACAGGCATGTAAAGGACGCTTAGAAATACAGGAAGCAGAGTGGTAGGGCGATGAAAAAAGACAAAACAAAGCAGATGGAAATGACGAACGTGCACGCGGTGTGGATGTAGGAGCAGGCAATGATCGTTAACCCTGAGAACCAAACTCCGCCGTACTCGCGATCTCCTGCCCCCTGCAACGCCCGCGCCGCCCTGAGCCCTCCCGCGGCCCGAGCCACGCACCTGGGCCGCGAACGCTGCTAACCCAGTCCGCATCCTGGTTGGGGCGCCCGCCGGGGCTCGCGCGGGGTCCACGCCCTCCGCCACGGCCTCCCACGGCGCCCCTCCGCCTCCTCAGACGCGCCGCGTGTATTGCTTGGCAAAGCGGAGAAGACGCCTGCGTTTTCAATTCCCAGCGGGCGATCCACGCCCAAAACTCAAACCCTAGTTGCGATGAAGAGTTGTTTTTTTCTTTCAGTTTTTTGTTCAATAATGAGGATTAAAATCTTTGTCCTTGAATTTGAAAGAGTTATTGTGTTTAATTTTTGTGTTTCTCTTAAATATATGATACAATATAGTTCTATGAACAGCGTAAGGAAAAAGCATTAATGGTCATGACATTCTCCATAAGCATAATTTTCAGATTTAAACTGTACGAACTTTAGTTTTACTGTGATAAAAAATATTTTCAAAAGGATGTTTGGTGCTTTGGATTTCAGTACACTTACCAGTAAAGTAAGAGTTTGAAGGGAAAATCAGAATGGTATGAGTTAATTTCTGTTCATTTCACTTCGACTACTTGTGGAAACATAGTTCTCTGTCTCTTTCTTCCTCTTCCGTTAGTGATAAGTCGTACAATACATTTATCTTCGTTGAATTTAGATTATATTTAGATATATTATAGAGGAGAATTTCATCTTAGTTTTCTAGATAGTTTTTTTCATCATTTAAATAGAGTATTGCTACTTCAACTGTATGAACAGTCAAATACCTGAGAAAATTATTATTCTGTACTTTTCGACGGCGTAATGCACTGCAAGACCGCTCAATCAACAATAAAAGTACATACAGTTCATGATTATGCCAAGGTCAGGATTTTGTCAGAAGAAATGGCAATGAAGGATTACATCAGTTCGCGTGGATTCTGGGCGTCGGGAAAACTTCGTGTGGACTTCGGGGCAGCCCCTCTGTGAATCACTCACAACGCTTTTCTGAGAATCTGATACCACTAACAAGGTAGACAGCCTTTTTTGTTTAACAACAGAATATATTATGAAACTGGAACATAGATTACGTGCACAAATAGATCAAACGCACATCAAATTGCTATGAACCCCGTACTATTTTCTGCAGAATTTAGTTGAAATCAAATTAACGAAACTGAATAAAATCCATTTACCTTCGTTGAATTTAGTTTTCTAGATATTTTTTTAATTATTTAAATCTAGTATTACTACTTCAACTGTATGATCAGTGAAATTAGTGCGAAGTTTCTTTTTCTGTCTTTTTCGACGCCGTAACCTCACACCTTAACTGCGGTTCTTTGTTATTTTTAATTTTAAAAAAGTATGGGTGGTATACGGACAGAAATGTAAGATTTCAAAAAGTCGTGGGAGAAATCTTTGCGCGTGCAGGTGAAATGCAAATTCAAGTCAATTTCTGTAATTCCTATCGAGTACTACTCCATCATATTCCAATCAATCTCATAGTTTGATCCAAATTCACTCATTCCCATCCAATCTTATCCTTTTCCGCTCGAACCCATGTCATACCACTACATTCCAGCTCACCCATTTCCATCTCATATCATCCCACTCCATGCCGCATCATCCCGATACATTCCAGTCAGTCTCACTTCATCTCGTCTCATCCCACACAATAATATACAATCCCTCCCCATTCCATTCCTCCATTGTCATCCTCCTTGAACCCTCCCCACTGTGTTCCTCCTCACTCCACACCACTCACTAGCACTCCGTCCCACATCAACCTACAACCCCATCTCCCACCCCTCCTCCTACCCCATCTCGTTCCACCTCACATCATCATACCTCAGTTTGTATTATCCCATCGCATTCCACTCAGACCCTCTTCATCTCGTCCCATCACACATAAAAATATCCAATCTCGGCCCATTCCATTCTTCCCATGTCATTCCACTGGGAGCCTTCCCATGGCGTTATTTCGCACTTCATTCCACACAGTTTGCATTCCCGTTCCATCCCTCCTCATTCCACAGTTCCATCGCATCTCAATCCATCCCTCGTCTCCACGCGCGCCGTGCCCCTTCCCCGTGAGGCGGGGCGCCTTCCCGCGTGCCACCAAGCACTCCGCTCGCCGCTCGGTCCGCCGCCCCCCGTCCATTGTGCAGACACGCCGGAGGTGTGGCTCGCGTAGGGTGGCACGACCTTACGGCACCCCCGGTGGCCGCTCGCGTCATCCACATGCGGGCCGCACCTCCTCCGCCGTTCCCGCCCTCCCCCGCCCTCTACGCCCCCCGCGCCTCCGCCCCTCCCCCGCCCCGCCACGCCAACCGCCACGCCGACCGCCAGGCCGCGCGCGTCGCTCGAGCAACAGGTGTTGGCAGCCGGATACCGCGGCCCCCCGCCACCGCCCGCCGACGGCCAGTTTCTATTATATTTTGCCCATCACACAGCCGCCGCTCCAGACCCTGTTCCACCACCGGCCCCGCGCAAACGCCGCCCCCCGCGCGCCCGCCGCTCCCGCGGACACGGAACCGCCTCCCGCCGCCGCCGCCGCCGCCACCGTGTCTGTCTCAAGTCCATCTCGCTTCGTTACGCTACTGCGATTCGTCGCCTCCTCCCTGCCACACCCTCTGTCCTTTATGTCCACGCTCCCCTCTGTTTATGTCCCCGCTCCACCCCTGCCTTTATATCACGGCGTTAACTCCTCGTTCTACTTCCCACCCTCGTCGCCAGAGTGCCAACGCCTTCGCTATGTCATGCTTCAACTGCGTTGTTCACTGTACTTCATAACTAGTTTTAACACATAATGTAGAGTTCGTGTTGTTGGTTTTCAATTGCTTACTTTCGTCCCTAGTCATGTTTATTTGTTACGGCTATTGTCATGACTCCCCTCGCGACCAGCAACTTACTCACTTACGGCATCACCACACTTAAGGAATCCGCAAGTGTTTCGCGGATTCACTGGACACTGAATACACTTCACAAAGACCTGTTTCTATTTTTATCTTCGCTACTCAAGTGCACTTAGTCACCTCAGTTTTGTCTTCATATTTCCGCTGCCATCCTATATTACTCTCTTTACAACTGTATCAAATTTCTTGAATGTTTTTCATTGCTATCGTCGTTTTTTAAACACACACTAGCTTCTCTGTTTGTATTCCGCAACCTTGTCTGTCTCAATACAAATCTTCATCTTTTCTTAGCTCGAGAATAAGCGTTGCCTTGTATGCAATCATTACGTCTTAAATCAACGCATACATCGTTGTCACATCGCATTATCAACGTAATAGATGCCTCGACACCTATCAAACTTCACTTGTAATTTCTATTTTTATCCCTAGTCTGAACAATGTTGACGTCTCACTGTTCCTGTCTCTCCTCCCTTCAACGAACAATATCACCGCGAGCTACTTTTTTCTCCTCTCTCACCGACGGACTAGCTTCTTCTTACAACTCTGTTCAGCTCCCATCGTCACCTCCTATAAGATAAGAAAACGTGGTGAGCGCCGGCGTGTCTGCCGCAGATTCCGCCGCCTCTCGCGACCACCTACGTCGACTCGATTGCCCCATCCTCTGCGCTACCTCGCCCACTTCCATCGCCTCCCCTCTCATCGCCACTCGCTCCTGCTCCTCCTCCTCCTCGTCCTATTCCCCCACCTCCTTCGCCGCCACCGCCGCCCGCCGCCAGCGCGGCGGCTGGGTCTAAACAAGCGAAACGTTCCCCCGGTACCCGCCAATTTGTTGGGCCCTAATGGCCGGGCCTCGGTGCTCCTCCTCTTTTATCAGCCGACGCGCGCCGCTGGCGGAGGGGGCATTCCTGATCTTCACGACTTATCGTGGCTGTTACATCGATTTTTACCTCGTCGTTTGGCGCTGATTTACGAGTTTGTTTCTTTACCCGGAGAGCCAAGCGCTAACAACGACTTCTGTCTTCACGTGCCGCCGCCGCCGCCGACAACGGCGATGTCTGGTAGGCGCATGTGCTAATTTCGGCGAGAGTGATTTAAGGTAATATCCGCCGAGAATTACGTGGATTACGTTTCAACGGTAATTAAAAATGGAGGATTTTATTGTGCAATTTTTTTTAGTGTGCGACGGAGGAATGAAGGACAAAACATCCATTTCGTGCTTCAAATTATATAGAGCGACAATTGAATTATGATTTTCGTCGATGATGAAATGGTTATTGCTTGAAAATATTATTTATTAATGAACTATTATTTGGACTAGTGTGATTAAAGTTCGCAGTCATCGCGTTTCTGGTTCCGTTAACCTGTACAAATTGTCACTAGATCTGCCTTTAAAATAATTATCGTACGTCCTTACCTATTCGCCGTGTTTACAATTATCGTTTCTACCTCTAATGATATTTTATTTGCATGAGTACAAGAATAATTAAATAACTTGATAAATCACACAAACATACCTAATTTAATTATTTAATATTTATAACACTCATTTCCACTAATACTGAATAAAAATGAATTGCAATTTTATGAATTGGGATTATTTAGGTTATATCAGGAGTAAAATGCAATTTAGAGCCTGACAATTTTACAAGTTTCTGTTTTCGTCAAGCTCTTGTATTCTGGTAACTTTTTCTCTCTTTTTTTTCTTTCTAATTTTAACTGTTTTTTCTAGTCCTGTGTTTTAAATAACTTTCACCAGTTGAAAGAACTATGTGACCTTGTTTTCGTTTGATGGTTGATCTGGTTCGATTAGAGCCGTAACCTTTCTGTGACAAATCAAGAACCAGCGTCCATCACAACTCACTTTAATGAGACGATCATACGAAGAATTTGTGTTGCAACATGCACAAAAACAGAGGTGAAATGACTGACAATTAATGAAGAACACACCTACGTATTGGTGAGTAAAATGGTTTTGAATTAAATAATTTGGATAAAAGTGGATATTTTTGGATGAACCAAACATTACTTTAAACACTCAAAGAAATATTTACTATTTCATATTACAAGCATGATCATAGTATGTTAGTTCAATCGGTAAATAAAAATGTTGGCGAGAATATTTTTTTCTTCTCATATAAGTGAAGATTAATGAACTAATAATAAGTTACAACGCTCAGTTCACCAATACTAGAGAGAGTGATTTTTAGTACGCGTGTACTCATATGTCTCCAAACAAAAACAATAATGAGTACTATTTGACCTTTGATAAATATAGCAATTTTCATAGCGCTGAAAGTGGTTTTATGGAACAACTACATCCTTCGATAAGAAAAAGTATTGTTAGATAAGAAATTTCCTAGATTTGGGATGAAGTAGCCGTTCCATTTATAGCATTCCAGAATTCCAGGATTCCATTTATAGGAGCAGTTCCATAGATAGGATTAGAGAATTGCTCATTATCTGTTACAAGACGCTTTTACCAACGATCTGGGAACTGTATTTGATTCACTGTACAAGTACACTGTTATGTGGTCTTCCGCATACATATCACTAACAAGAAAATAGATGGAAGACATTTTGCAAGATAGAAGGCAGAGTGCGAGTTAATTTAGCACCATAAGAATTCGGTTATAAGAATTGCAATCACATACCTCCAACAACGTCCAATGTGTGACAACAATGAGTGCACGCGACTTGGAACAAAATTAATTCATGCGGCAATGGGCCATTATGGCCTCAGCCTAGCCAGAAATAAGGACATTATTATTATTATTATTATTATTATTATTATTATTATTATTATTATTATTATTATTATTAAATTTTATTTAAGTCCCTGGTTGAGCTTGAGTGAATGGAGTCACCGGCGGAGGAGACACCGCGAGTGGCGAAAGCGATGGCAGCCGCCGAATGGAGGGCACGGCCGCGCAACCGCGGTGACTGGCGCGCGCGGGGGCGGCCCGCGTGTAGCAAGTGCTGGCGCGCTCCATTCACAGCCGAAGGCGCCCCCGCACTGTGCGCCCCGAGGCGAATCTGTCGGGCGAAATGGCTTCGGTTTTTCCTCTCAGTTTACGAATTGTATCTAGTTTGCGGTTTCTGTATCCAAATTGATTTTCTAACAGTTGCGGTGGTTTAGGAGTAAGTGTGACCACTGATTTCACGGCCTGGATTCAACTTTCTCTCGTGAATTATAGTGTGCTACACAGTTTATGAAATGGTACATTTATATCAACGTTTGACAGGAAGTGCGGGATCATAAATTATTAAAAGATCATAAATTATTTACCTAGAGAGACTTAACATAATATTTAAATACTGCAATACTTTCTGAAATGTCAGGATAACGTTTACAGAGAAATAGTGCTGTATTTCTTTGTTCTAACGAGTGAAAATATTGTCCGTTAAAGAATTATTAGTGGAATATTGCAAAGTTCGCAGTTGGGTGACTGTCTAAGCCGCTTCATTGACTTGCTTACAAATGAGCGAGGAAAAGGAAAAGAGTTAATTTGAGGAACATTCAGGAATGCGGTTGGTGGTGGGTTGGGAGGTTTTGAGGAGATTGCGGCTTTTGAAGTTGTCTGTATGGTTACAATACATCATGATGAAACATTTGCAACTAATCCTTTTTTAAAAATGGTAACTACGAGTAATACGATCAGTTGTGTAACACTGGTGTACGGTGTTGTATCTACATCCCTACGGAGAGGGTGTTCCTGGATTGAACGTATCGCCAATCTCTGTCGAATAGTATTTGATATTTTTTGTCATTCAAACATACATATTAACAATTTAAATTTGTATAATTTGAAGGAAAGTCAATATCATAAGAATTCCACAAACCATCATTATAATTGTCTCAGCATACAACGTGAGCGGATTAAACACATCCTTGTGGTTAAAGTGTTCGACGTCCCTTTGAAATTTTGTTCCATTAAACCCGCGATTCGGCCCATCGTGCGCTGATAATCACCGCGTTGGCCGCGCCGCGTTTTCGTCAGCGAAATATTTATACCGTCGACACGACGCCATGGCGCGACGGCAGGGCGCGGCGAGGCAACAAGGCGAGGCGTGGTGACTGCGGCAACCTTGATCTACACCGGGGCGCGATCTGGGTCACACTCCACTGGCGCCGCGGCGCGAGAAGGAAGTGCCTGCCAAGCAAGGCGCCGGCCGCTGCTCCGCTCCCCCACCCC